TCTATCAAGGCACTTCAAGGTGGAGGTGTCTCTTTTGGCGTAAGCAGGATTGGAAAGTTTGTGGAACACCCCATTGAAGATGTGTACTATGACAATGAGTTGAAGTACAATCTTCTAAGTGTTTCATAAATTTGTGATAAAGGAAATGGAGAACATGTATATTGTTGATCTGAATACTGCTCGTAGTGACAGTCTCACTTGCCTTAGTGCTCAAAGTGAGAATGATGATGTATGACACAAGAGACGTGCTCATGTGTTCTCTACTGCACAAACTTGTGTCAAGACACATGGTCCGCGGTCTGCCAAAAATAAAATTTGCAGATGATAATGTTTGTGTTACTTATGTTAAAGAGAAACATATCAGACCATCCTTCAAGCGGAATAAGCAAGAATTGAGAAGTAAGTTGCAAAACAAAGAAGATTCTGAGATGGAAGAGCTGCTTCAGATTCAGAGAGATGGTCTAAGTAATAAGCTTGCTGAAGAATATCCTCTTCATGAATCCAACAATCCCAAAGAAGTTGATGCAGATGATAAACCTGATGAGGGACCTGCTCCGGTAGACAATGCTGAACAAAGATGATGCAGTTCAAACTGATAATGTGAATTCTGAAAGTGAGAATGAAGAAGCTGAACAAGCTCAGTTTGAAAGAAGCAAAGTATGACACTCAGTTCCCCGACCAGCTGACAGGTTTTCCAAGTTCCTCTTCAACAATGGTTTCAAAAGAGGTAAAATTGACAAAATCCTCTTTTTGAAATCACAAAGGAAAAAATTGCTAATTATTTAAGTATATATCGATGATATCATCTTTGAAGCAACCTTTGAGGTGTTGTGTGAAGAGTTTGNGCTGAACAAGCTCAGTTTGAAAGAAGCAAAGTATGACACTCAGTTCCCCGACCAGCTGACAGGTTTTCCAAGTTCCTCTTCAACAATGGTTTCAAAAGAGGTAAAATTGACAAAATCCTCTTTTTGAAATCACAAAGGAAAAAATTGCTAATTATTTAAGTATATATCGATGATATCATCTTTGAAGCAACCTTTGAGGTGTTGTGTGAAGAGTTTGTTACACTCATGAGTAGTGAGTTTTGAAGTGAGCATGATGGGAGAATTAGATTTCTTCTTAGAGCTACAGATCAAGCAAACCTCTAAAGGTACCCTCGTTTGTCAAGAAATGTACATCAAGGAGCTGCTCAAAAGGCTTAACATACTTGAAGTCAAGACAATGTTAAAAAAGGGTAATGTCATCATGAAGTTTTGCAAAATGGAAGATCAAGTGGCTGACATCTTCACCAAAACCCTAAGCAAGGACCAATTTGTCAAAACAGGTATACACTCATATTGACTTAGCTAAAGGGAAGAAGATAGCACAATGTGATCAGGGCAATTAATGTCTGAACAAAGATATAAACCTGGTTCCAGCTCAGAGAAGCTACTGAAGAAGTTTCACATTACAGATGCCAAGACAATTGATACTCCATGGGACCAACTCGAAGCTGGATAATGATGGATGTGGTCCAAATGTAAATTATATAAGTGTTAGGATTTATTCAAGATTCCAAGCTTGTCCAATGGAATCACATTTGAAAGCTGCTAAGAGAATCCTAAGACATTTAAATAAGACATGAAATTGGTTCTATTTTGTTCATCAGGAGACTTTTTGATTTGGAGGAATATAGTGATATTGATTATGCTGGGTATCAAGTTGATAGAAAGAGTACCTTAGGAATGACTTATTTTCTAGGCTGGTCTCTCATTCATGGGGAACTAAAAGGCAAGATTCAGTTGCTCTTTCAACAACTAAGGCAAAGTATGTAGCAGGTGCAACTTGATGTGCTCAACTCTTGTGGATAAAATAACAACTTAAAACTCTTATAAGACCTGGCCGAGATAATCAAACTGAAGTTGGGGGTGCTGTAACCTGACTGAATGGATCCTGCCTGAAGCAATCAACCCTCTCATGACTATGCAAATGGAGCAGGTATCCTTGTTTTCCAGTTATGTATGTTTTAGCAAATTCAGTCTTATACCTTTTATAGGTATGCACACATGGAAAAAATGCTGAAGGAAAAGGGAGGTCAGGACAAATCTGGGCAATTAGAGAGAGGGACCCGATCCATTCTAGAAGGTTAGCACTCTTAACATTGCTTTTTGAATTATGCATGAGAACTGTTGTGATCGCCATATGTCTGTCATTCAGAAATCTGACCGTTGTCCCATCATTTGAATACGAAAATGACACTTCCTTTCACATAATACACCGTTTCACTTCCTTTATACTTCATATTTCTTTTCATCACCCTAGAAAATTCAAATCCCCTTCCAAAAATAAAAAAATTTCAAAACCCTCTTTTCTCTTCTCTAAAAAACACTTCAAATGTTTAAACCCTTTGTTCCTACTGGAGAATTTTCTGATGAAGAAATTTTTGAGTGTGAAGAGGAACCAGGTACAACAAGCAAAAATAAGAAGGTGGAAAAGATGATGTTCAAAAAGGAAAGGGTTGATATTCTAAGAACTCAAAGTATTCTGAATGGGAGAGTGTCTGTTCTTAAAAAAATGAAATGGTTCCTAAGTTATTGATCTATTCATCTCAGAGGCCTTGAGTAAATTTGAGTTTACCAATCTTTCTGTTTCACCCTAGGGAAATGTCACCGAGACTTCCAAGATTAGAATAGAAAAATAATCTCTAAACTAAGAAAAAATGTTAAATAAAGAAAACAAGATAAGTTCATAGATCTAACTCTTCAATATGTATCTAGATATATCAAATGCAAAAACGAGTGTATTTTCAAAATAAAAAATAAAAAAAAGTAAAATCGTACCAAAATTGGCTTCCGAAATCCCCTCGTGCAGCGCATCTGATTTTGATTTTTCTTTTGCTTTCTCAAACTTTTCTTCTCGATCTTTGCTTTTCCGTTATTCATTGTTATTCTTTTTTACCGTATGCTTAAAAGTCTAGAAGGCGCAGTGGAGTTTGGGCAGGAATAACTTTTTCCGAGAGGTGAACTTCAAAAATCAGTTTTGCCCTAAAAATTTGGGAAATTAAAGTCACTTAGTCGAACTAGAAAACTATAAAGATAGGGAGGCTAAGGTTACGAAGTAAGGTCATCTGGTTAAGGAAAGCTCAGTTTATGAAATTGCTTAGCCGTTAATTAATTGAAAAATGAAAGTAGTAGTGAGGCGTTGGTATGGAGTTGCATCTGCTGTGGATATAGAATTCAAATTTGGAAAATTTGAAATTCAAATTTGGAAAAGGTCTGTGATCATTTGAACTGGAAATTCCTAGATTCTATTATGTTTCAAATGGGATTTGGGGAAAAGAGGAGGAAATGGATTAATTTTTGCATCTCTTCGGTGAGATTTTCTATGTTGGTGAATAGTGACCCATGCGGGATTTTTGGGAGTCCGAGGGATTTAAGACAAGGGGATCACTTATCATCAATGTTGTTTATCTTATTTATGTGAGCATTAAGTAGGATGATGATAGAGCTATTTTATGGGGTTACTTAAAGGGTTTTAGTGTTGCGGTTCTTAGTGTCTCATTCGTTATTTACGGATGATACCTTGATTTTTTATGATGCAACTGAGGCCTAGTTGGATTATTAACAGTGTTATCAAAGGCGCGCTTAAGCCCTGAAGCGAGGCCCAAAACGTGTTGAGCGCTTCGCCTCGCTTTATGTGCGCTTCAGTGTCGTCATCAAGGTTCTAAGGCAAATGTTTCCTTGCCAATGAGCCTCTTATGAAGAAGTGACACTAAATAATTGATAATTTACTTCATCATAATTTTTTTTCAATTTCTTTGGTCATATATTTGTCATTCATGTTTATAATTATTAGTCTTGGACTAAACAAATATATTTGTTTTCTTTTCTCCCTTTGCGCCTTTTTGTACTAAAGCCCACACTTTATTTGCGCTTAAAGTCCCTACGAACCTTAGAGCTTTTTGGCGCTTTTCGCCTTTCATAACACTGATTATTAAGCCAAGTCTTTACTTGGTTTCAGCCGGTATCAGACCTCAAAATCAATTTGAGGAAGTTTGAGATTATTCTTTTCGAGAAGGTGAACAACATTAGATCACTCACTCAAATTTTTTGAATTGTAGGGTTAGGGCCCTTCCGACTACCTATCGTGGAGTACCTTTAGGTGCTTCACACAAGAATCAAACTGTCACGAGTACCTTTAGTCATTTCACGGTGTTTAGAGCCACAAGTGACCCCAAGCTAACTTCATGATCAGGCATGGCACTAAGAATCAACATGTAATAGCAATAGAAGATAACTGGATGCGAAATTGAACTGAAATCATATATATATAAAAGAGAACCCTAGGCCCACCTACGTGGCGCCACCACAAACCAGGATTCCCTTTTAATTTATTTATTTCCAAAACTAACCTTCTCCTTTTACGAAAAATTGGGACTTTTATGAAAAGTTGCGACTTTAATGAAGAGGTGCGACTTTTATGAAAAGTTGTGATTTTTATGAAAAGTTGTAACTTTTATGAAAGATTGTGACCTTTCTGAAGGGTCGCAACTTTTCCAAATAGTTGTAACCTTTCCGATAAGACACAATAAATATTTGTTCACACTACTCTTTGTTATCTATAAATAGAGGGATTTCCTCTCATTTTAAAACAACAAAAATTCTGAACTTCTTCTTCTTCTTTTTCTTCTTCTTCTGCACAATTAAATATTCGTGTACTTTGCTCCTGTTGAGTAGCTCACTAACACCATTGCGTATGTTATAGATCCTGGTATGTATTTTTACAGTCATTAATTTATGCTTATGTTATTAAGGATAAATGATAAGATGTTATAATTTTCATTTTCCTTTACATTATTAATGTTTGTTACTGCGTAATCTTATATGTAAGATAATATAGTGTTTTAGTTTTAATAACCGATATATTTTAAGTATTATTTTATAAATTCGCGCAGGTAATTTTACTAGTAGTCTAAAAATATCAATAGATGAATATTTGAGTTCACATAGCTGAATCTAAACTGATTGTATGAAAAGTCTCTACTAATATGAGTTGCTAAGACAAGTCCCTAGCTAACTCTAATGTCTGAAAATTGAAAGTAAGTGACTAAAAGAAACACAGGGGTTTCCTCGAAAAGACGAGAACTCACCAAACACTGTTGCTAGCTGATCAAAGATAGTACTAATCATCAATATTAGTCACATTTCGTTGAAATAAAGCCTGATGTTTTAGCTCCCTTTTTTCATCAACATATTTTTTCATTTCTTCCCTTACACCATCCTGGCATTTTTCATACCGTGAGACGTCCTTGTAAGTAGGGGTGTTCGTGGTTCGATTTGGATCGTTTATTGGTTAAAACCAAAACCAAACCAATCTAGTCGGTTTTTTAAATATCTAAAACCAAACCAAACCAAACGAAAAAAGTAACCGTCGGTTTGGTTATTGACAGTTTGGTTCAGTTTTTCTGGTTTTTTATGTTTAAAAGTAATAAAATTTTGAGGACATACGTATCTTGATAGACACAAACACCTAGTATATGAGCAATCCACTGAAAATCTATTGTCGGTTCAATTAAGCAATTAAACAATATTAAAGTTATCATTACACGAACAAAGTGATTCAATTAAGAGAAGATGTAACTATCTTATGAAAGGTATGGTAGGTAAAGACTAAAATAATAAATTTTGATGGACTTGAACTTGTGATTGTAATAGATGGACTAAAACTTAAGTGTTGGGCTTGAGAAAATGGTAAAGTTAAAAACTTAGGTTACTTAAAATTTTAAAAAATATTTATATTTTATTTATGAATGATATATAAATAATTATAAAATTTTTATATATAATTTATCGGTTCAGTTTGGTTATTTTTGCAGTTATTTTTTAGTAAAACCAAAACCAAACCAAATAGTATCGGTTTTTCAAAATTTAAAACCAAACCTAACCAAATCAAACCAAATATCAATTTTTTAATCGGTTTGGTTCGGATCGTGGTTCGGTTTGGTTTTGTAACCATAATCATGAACATCCCTACTTGTAAGTACCAACTAGATGTTTGTGATGAAAGATTCCACCATTAGTAACATTTTTACAAAAGTTACATTCAACTGCGTTCCTATTGGTCTCACTTGTTCTTTTCCCATAGTTCCAACCGGGGTCAGCCATTTTTAATTGCTGTTAAGATCAAAGAAACATAATCAGCACTATATTTTAATCACTGTAACAATATATAATCACTGTTAAGAAAAATAATCAGCAAAACAGAGCAGAGAAACAACAATGTTGGTACAGTAGAACAGAACAGAACAAGACTGCAAAACAGAGCAGAAAAAAAGAAGAGGAGGAAAGAAAGAACACTTACCTGAAGTCAAGAAGCAACAGAGATGAAAACCGCGACTGAACAGTCGATGACTGAGGTTAAACATATCGCGACTTGTTTTTTCATTCAAAACGCACTTTTATAAGGTTAAAAACAAAAAGTATTTTATTCACTTTTAAGAGAAGATGAGAAGGATAACTCCCTGCTTATTCCTTGTAAAAGTACTACAACACACGGCTACCTACTGTCCTTTTATTGTAATCCTCGACCGCCAAACCTTTTTTTATCTAGAGTCATGTCCTCAGTAAGTTGAAGATGTGTCATGTCCCATCTAATCACCTTCCCCAAATATTCTTCGACCTACCTATACCACTCCTAAAAATATGTTATAGCCAAACTTGCACACCTACTTACTTGGAGCTTCCCCGCACCTCTTCTTCACATGATCGAACAATTTCAACCTTGCTTCCCTCATCTTGTCCATCACGGAGGTCACTCCTACATTGTCTTGTATAGCTTCGTTCCAAATCCTGTCACTCCTGGTATGCCTACACATCCATCTGAGCGTGTGCGTTCTTGACAGGCAAGTACTCTGCCCCATACAACTGTGTAGGTCTAACCACCACTCAATCGCATGAAGAGGAGGTGGAGGCGACCCAAGGTACTTGAAACTTCTTCTCTTGAGTATGACTTGTTTATCGAACTTCAATTCCACCTCCACTTCATGTGATACGTCATTTGAACTTCGACTCCAAGTACTCAATTTTAGCCTGACTTTACCTGAAACTTTTGGATTCTAGGGTCTGTCTCCAAACTTCTAACCTATCATTAAATCCACCGTGGGTCTCTCAATCAATACTATGTCATCTGCGAATAACAAACACCAGACACATCCACTTGAATATGTTGCGTCAATTCGTTCATCACTAAGGCAAATAAAAATGGGTTAAGGGTTGATCTCTAGTGCAACCCTATCATGACCAAGAAGAGTTTTGAGTCACCTCCAACCATTCTTACCTGGCTCTTTTCTCCGTCGTGCATGTCCTTAATCACTCTAATGTAAGCCACACATACTTTAGACTCCAAACACCTCCATAGAACCTCCTTAGGATCTTTATTGCATGCCTTTTCTAGGTCAATAAACACAACGTTTAAGTCCCTCTTTCTATTCTTATATAGCTCCAACAATCTCCTTATAAGATCGATGACTTTTATGGTTGGCCGCCCTGACCTGAACCCAAATTGGTTCTCGGAGATAGGCACTCCCCTCCTAATCTTTACCTCGACCACCATCTCCCATACTTTCATAGTGTGGCTTAGTAACTTCATACCCCTATAGTTGTTGCAGTTTTGAATATCATCCTTGCTTTTTGTACAAGGGGATCAATGTAAATACCGGTATATTTGTGTACACAGTAAGAACACAAGGATCACCTCAAAATTGTGTTTCAAACACGGCAAGAACAGTAGCCTTAGGCCAAGTTCGTCAGGTGCGAATTTTTTACTAGATTTGATGATACTTTTCGGGTATGTTGTATCTAAGGATGGGATTATGGTGGATAATAAAAATACAGTAGCAGTTCAAAAATGGCCAAGACCCACGAGATTTATACAATGAAACCAACAAGATTTATACAGACCACAAGAGGCTGAATTTGTTTCCCAGCAGAAAGATTTGATTCTTGAATAAAATTACTCAATGACTACGTAGAATTTTACCATTCGGTGTCATTCAGGAAAGAAAATGATGCGGCAGATGCATTAAGAAGGAATTCCATGGGCTATTTGGCTCATTTAGCTCCTGCAAAGAGACTTTTGGCCTAAGATATGCATAAACTTGAGGATATAAGTATCAAATTTAATATGAGAAACTCAAAGACATTGTTCGCTTATGTTCAGGCCAAGTTTCTAACTTCGTTTCTAGTTGTTTGGCTTGTCAGCAGGTTTAAGATATCAACAATCCATAGGACTGCTACAACAGTGTGAGTTTCCAAAGGTGAAATGAGACATCTTTTCTACAGATTTTATGACCAGGCTACCAGGAACCCTTACAGGTTATGACTCTGTGTGGGTATTTGTAGATTGGCTTGCAAAGCCAGTACACTTTTACCGGTCAAAACCAGATACAATGGAGAAAATATGCAAAAATTATATATGAATTAAATTTTCCGACTCCACGAGGTTCCAGAGTCCATCATATCTGACAGAGGATGACTGCTTACTTCACGCTTTTGGAAATCTTTTCAATACATTAGTAGATCTTAGTTCCATATTTCATCTGGATACAGACGGACAATCTAAGCATACTGTTAGATGACACTTTAAGAGTTCGCATTCTTGATTTTGGATGTTTATGTACCATTAGCAAAATTTTCCTACGACTATGACTTTCAGTCAAGCATTCAGATGGCTCAATATGAAACCTTGTATGATAGGCAATGTCATTCTTTCATCAGACAGTTTGAAGTTGGTGAGGCTAATGTATTGGGACTAGACTTGGTACAGGAAGCTCTGGACAAGGTCTAGCCAATCAGACAGAGGATGCTCACAGTTCAAATAAGATAAAAGTCTTATGTGGATAAGTGAAGAAAAGACTTAGGGGTCATTTGGTACAAAGATTAATAACGCAGTGGTTAGTAATGCATGGATTAGCAATGAAGGGTTTATTTTATATTAAGTGTTTGGTTCATTGTTTCCCACCAAATCTTGTGTTCGGATTAAAACTCTACAAAAAGCTTCTTTTATCTTTTATTTGAACTGTGAGCATCCTCAAGTTTAGCTCTTTGCTAACATCCTTTTATTTTAGAACTCCTAGAGTAGCGACGTCAATCATTTTTGTGTTATGAGTAGTATTCTTTTTTTTTCTAAAATACCAATAAGAATGGCTTCGAACACTAGCTTCTAAGCGTCAGTCATAATCCTAAATTGGGTCGTGACATGAGAATACAAGGAAATAAATTTGTGTAAATGAGAATTCCACCAAGTGAAGGGTATATTAGCTCTACTGATAATTCAAAAGGAACAAAAAATCTGCAAAATAAATGGAGACAATAAATATAAGCAAAAGTTCACATTAAAAACTAAAAGGTAGTTATCACAAAATCCCATAGGACAAACAAAATCAAATTTATAATGGTTCAACATCTATTTCTCATCTTCATCAACTAGCTATAATTGTTGCATTCTATGACTGTTGAAGGAAGTGACTATTCAGTAGCTTCACCTTCTTCCATATCTTCATCTTTATCATCACTAGTATTAGTCACATCCGCTTGAAGTAAAGCCTGACGTTTTTGTTCCTTCTTTACATCAACATATTTCTTCATTTCTTCCCTTACAGCATCCGGGCATTGTTCACACCGTGAGGCGTCCCTGCAAGTACCAATAAGGTGTTGTTTGTGACAAAAGATTCTGCCATTAGTAACTTTTCTACAAAAGTTACACTCAACTGCGACCTTATTGGTCTCGCTTGTTCTTTTCCCATATTTCCAACTCGGGTCAGCAATTTTTAATCGATGTTAAGATCAAAGAAACATAATCAACAAGATAAACAAAGTAATTGAAGTAACAAGTAGTAGTAAAAATGAAGAATAAGATACTATGCAAGTACTACTAAATGAACAGAAGATGAGAAGGTAAGAATAACACACGACTACCTACTATCCTTACACACATCAACTAAATATTTGCAAAGAAAGATCACCGATCAATTTCAATTCCTTCGAAGTACCTGTTAAGAAACTTTGGCATATATTTGGACTTGAACCACTACTTAAATACTCAAGGTAATACTCCTTCCGTATCCTTTTATAGACTTGTGACTAGTCTTAAACTTCACTTTCGCATTTGGAGATGGACTTAGTATTATTGTGTTGCGAATGGCTACTAATGAAGATATTACTTGTTTGGTTGATATTGTTTGGTTCTATTGTTGATTCTGAGACAGAGGAAATTTTTGGATAGCCCTAAAGTGGAGGAAATCTGTCTGATTTTCTATTAATTATCAATAAGCATTTGCTTTGAACACTTGCTCCTAAGCGCCGGTCATGGTCCTAAATTGGATCGTGACATGAGAATACAAGGAATAAAAGTAAGAACAAGATATTTGACCTTCAACTTGGGTTAGCATTGAGACTTCTTGGTTGCGGTATTAGTTGGTTCCAACTTGAATGTAGACCCCTCACCGTCATTCAATATCTTTGTGTGCTCATTTCCTCCATTAGTTCCAGAGATCACTGGGGTAGATTCATCATCTGTTGAGTCATAAACTGGAAATCATCCACGATATATCTGCAGTAAGAAAGCCCGATTGAAATAAATATCCAAGAATTAGAAGGATATGAGTCTTAAGATTTTTACAAACTACAAAAACGAAGTTGAGCATTACCTGTCATCCCCATCTTCCCAGACATGGTTGTACTCCTGACCAAAGATAAAAAATGGAACAAAAGAATATGATATGAGACTGACATATTGCTATCAAATTTAGAAGCATATACCAACATTCAGCTCTTTCCTCCCATTTCTTTGTTATGTTTACCAATATGAGCACATCTACCACACTCTTCTAATACATTTCATTTGAATTACTAAGTTCTACTATTTACGTTAGCTGGGATTATTGTTCCTCTTCAGACAATCTCAATTGAACTGTGAAATCTATGTCCAGTGTCATAATTCAAAACCCCTTAAGATTGTGTATCAATGTCTCAGGATTAGAACACAGTGCTCTCATCCTGAAAGACTGACAATCGGTTTACATGCTAATTCAAAACACTTCAACAGTGAGGCTTATCAATATCAACGAGAAACAAAATCTGTTGTCTCGTTGATCAACTATGTTTTAAATGAAAAAAGAGAAGAAGACATCTACTACAAAGACATAAATTGTTGTGCTCTAAATTCAAACATAATAAGCAATAAGCATATATCTTTTTCTTTTTATCGGAGAAATAATATTTATCCTAAACGACTTTCCTTTTCAGCTTCAAATGCAGCACACTGAGTTTGACAAGGATACACCATACTATAACATGTGACTTGAAGATTCTAGTATGTGAATAGCGAATTCAATCTATATGCATAAATCATTACTCTGTTTGTTGTCTAAAATCTGGGAAGAAGGAACATGTGATATGATGCTACAAAGGGTATTCCAGATATAACAATTCATAAGAAACTTAAGTTACTTGGAATCGTCGAGACTTGGCACCCAAAAATAAGGAACAGTTTGCAGCTCCACACAGACAACGAACATTTTGTTGGGTTTTATTTGCCCTGTAATTTCTTACCATAAATAGGTTTTCCTTTTAGGAAAAGGTTTTGGATTGGCTAGTCCTTTTCTTGTAGGAAAAGGTTTAGGACTCTATAAATAGAGGTTTGTTCCTTCTAACTTGATCAGCTTTCACAATGTAGTCTTAAGGGCTTTGAGAGTTTTGGTTAGGGGAGAATTTGTGAGACAGAATCTTGATACGTTATCACTTG